CTGGGTACAAAGAGAAGTTAACTCTATGCAACATTAGGAATGAATGTATTCTGTCTTCAACATTTTCGTTCGACATAATTCCAGCAGATTCAATTAACAACACAAAAATATCAGAGAGCGTTCAGTTCAATCCTGCCTTTATCATGCGGGCCTTGCACTATCAAGATTATCAACTGTCGTAATCTACAGGACTTCAGCTCGGTATGTTTCTCTCGTAATTTCCCCCTTTTTTTTTTCTGCCCTTATCTCAATTTACTGCAATTCAGCGGCTGGCCGGCGATTTTGACCTAATTCATCTGTGGTTGCTTGTTGGAGCATTAATTGAGAGGCGTGCATATCAGTTATGTTTGAACTTGGTTGCTTGCCGTGTTTTCATTTCGTGTCACTTTGACTGTTTCTAATGGGATTCACCTGTGTAATGTTTTGAACTTCAGTAGCCTATGCAGTGTGCTACTTTTGGTGATTACTATAGTGAGGGGATTTCTTGTGTGAGGTGGCTTTACCGTTAGGTCGGTCGACCATACGTTTGTAACAAAAATGCATGCTTAAGTTATGAAAAGTCATACTTTTGCTGATGTTGTTTTTATAGAGTATGACATTTTAGTTTGAAAATACACATATATATTGAAAAAAGTATGATTGCGTAACTGTTAGGCCAGTAGTATTACTGGTCGGCATATTCTTTCAGCACTAGTGAAGTTAGATTGATGTATATTCATTTCTCTTCTACTTTCTTTTCTTTCTTCATGCTTCCCCATATAGTAAGACTTTGGTTTGTTTGTTGCTTTCTTAATGGAAACATGTTTTCCTCATCATTGAAGCTACTGTTGAAGCAGCTACGAATATGAAATTACGTTCCAAGTGTAAAACTAATAAACTATAATTGTTTTTAATTATCTGCGGTCCAGACATCCATACGGTTTTCTTTATGCCTTTTAATTTACTATCAAACTATAATTGTTTTTCACACATGAAGTATACAGTAACTATAAAACGAATAAAATAATAATCATGTTAAAATTAATATAATAGTGTGATATATTATATTTTGGAAAATCGTTGTATTTAACCGTATTATATAGTATATTTTTATAATGTATCGTATGAATTATGTATGATGAGAAACATAAATAATCATATTAACATTTTTACTATTAATATTTTTACGACCCTGCCTAGGCCTCGTCTAATCCCCACGTAAACTCTAGGATCCAGCCTGCTAACTAGGGAACGCCCAGTGCTTCTTAGAACATTGATTTGGATTGAACTTCTGGGAGTCTGCTAATAATAACTTATTGGCTTTTTATCACTCTCATAGCAGCGTTCTAATAGTCTAGTACGAAAATATTTTTTTTACCCTTTGTTCCCGTTAAGATTAAGTTTTGAAATGCATGGCCGCCCTTTTCACATTTCAGAGTAGCTTGAGGTACCCCTTATGTAGTAATGCTGATGATAGTGAACTTAATGTGATTATTGGAGCAGCACTTAGCTCTTAATTGACTTGGGAATATAGTTTTAAATTTTAACATACTTTTAATGCTGTAGTCCTTAATGTGGCATCTCATTAAAATCAAATCGAGTTACATATGTAAGTTTGGACATCTATCTAGCTTCAGTTTGTGAAGACTATGAAAAATGAAGAGGAAATATTTGTTGAAATCACATTGTTGTGAGTTTATATACTATGCTGAAAGGCTGAGAATTTTTCAAACTGTTGCGAGCCTGTCAGATGGAACACAATAGTACTTAGAAGTTAGAACCACAAAAATCAGCATTCACAATAAAATTGCTATACACGAGATGCACTTTCATCTCTCAAGAACACTTAATTTTTCCAATCCCTGTAATAACTGGAAAGTAATAAAGACTACAGAGGGGAAATATTCCCTCTTCTGTGTTATCACTCGTTTAATGAGGTTTCCAGTAGAACTACCTCATTGTATATATTGATCTGAGATGTCCTGAGTGAGAGCAGAGGATTTTCATTTGGTTCCTGAAGAAATCCATCCACTTCCCTCCAAAAACTCAAATACGAATTCGGATTTTCTGCCTCGAATATTTCTTCAACCTCCTTCTTCATTTGTGTTTCTTGCAAGACAGGTAAAACATCTGAGCGTTTGTTTTCTGGATCTCTACAAGTCAGAACTTGGGATAAAAGGTTGTCCGCCTTTTTGAAATCTTCTGGTTTACCTGTAAGTCTCTGGACAAGCTCTCTGAAATTCTCCACATCCGTTTTTATGATTTCTGGTGCAATGATGTGAATTATGCGTATTTTGGGCTTTATTTTGGATATTGTGTGTGAGTAGTCGTGTACTGAAAAATTATTTCGAGGTGTGATTTTGTTAAATGATTGAGGTTTCATACTTGCCTTTTTGCAAATAGTGATGAATGCCTGTGTTATGTCCGTTTTTTAGCTTGGTATTTATATACAACAACTTTGAAACTACTTGTGTTGTGGGTGTAAAATGGAAATTCTCTAAAATAAAAGGTTTCCCTTTCGGAAATGGATGATCAGATGGTATACCCACCCGCAATATTAGTTTATTTTCTATCAATACTTGAGCTATTTGCAGATTAAATGTTTTCTTTATCATGCTATTTGATTTAGTCAACCATTATCAAAGTTGACATACTCACATCTAACTTGAGCTCTCAGGGCAGAAATTTATTGGACATGATCTAAGCATATCTCTCTCTCTCTCTCTCTCTGTGTAACTATCATCTATCTAAAGTCAATCTTGTTTAGAGTATGGGCAACTTGAGCGTATGGTTGTCTGCACCCCTCGCAGCTTATTGGTGAACACAATTGTTAATCGTTGACTTTATTTTTTATCAAAAAATATNAAATAACCTCAAACGTAATACATACACAGGCGACATCAACTGATGCCACATAGCTACTTAGATCAACACTCGATCCAAATAGGAACGGGAGCAAGCCAAACCATCAAAACTTCTCCTTGTAAAGCGAAAAATGCTAACCTATTACTTCTGTCCAAACTAAAACTAACACCTGGGCTACCCACAAAATAACAAATATAAAAAAGATTACATAAAAGATAGATATCTTCGGCTACTACATTATAAGCAAAATGAAAGACACCTCTAGAATTTAGTCTTCGTGCAATATCCTCCATATCTGAATACACTTTAATATTCTTCCAACCGGCTTGAATCGCATTCACCAACGCCAGTCTAATTGCTTGAAGTTGTTCTTCCACTAGATCCTGACAGGACTCCCTAAAAGAACACCAAGCCCTTTGAATTACACGCTGATCATTCCAGGCACAACCCCCAAGCCCCGATCCATGAGCACCCAACGACTTAACGCTGATTTGTATGTTTTATCATCCCATCTCGTGCCCCTACTGCACCATATCAATACTCCCAGTTAGGGCTGGTAATTTTGTACCGAAAATCGAAAACCGAATCGAACCGAACCGACAAGAAAAAAAAAATCGAACCGAACCAAATCGCTTGTAGCGGTAACCGAAAACCGGTTACCGAAATGTTATCGGATCGGTATCGGTTCCGAAACCTTAAGGATTCGGTAAAATCGAACCGAACCGATAAGGATAAAAAAAATAAAAAAATAAAAAACTTTGTAGACTTATAGATATAGTTACAGATTACTTGTTTAGACATTAGTACTTTAATCTAGTATTTAATATTTTATTAGAGTATTCGTTAATAGTGATTACATTAGGCTCAATTTTTTTTTTTTTTTAATTTNAAACAAATTGCCCTCACTCATCACTCCAACACTCCAACAGGAAGAAAGAAAAGCAGAGCCCTGTGAACAATGAACATGTTGATAGCATGTGAATGTGGAAGTGAACTTGAAACTTTTTTCTTGATGCTGTGAAGTGGCCACTAGGAACATACTGGGAGCCTTGGAAATCAGAATCATTTTGTTGGTTTTTTTTTTCGGTTTTTTCGGTTCAAAGTCGAAACCAAACCGAGTTTTCAGTAACCGAAAATTAATCATGAATGTTGAAACTTAATCAAGTTGCATTATTATTAGTAAATTTTTTGTTTTTTCGGTAAAAAATCGTTACCGAACCGAATTTTCGGTAACTGAATTCGGTTACCGAAAACTATCGGTATGGTAACGGTTTCATATTTTGTTGTTACCGAAATAATCGGTACGATATCGGTTTGCCCTTATCGGTTCGGTAACCGAACCGATACAAACCCTACTCCCAGTATTGCCCTCCTAACTGAACCTGCTTCTGTGCACTTGCCCCTCCTATAACTTTAAATTCTTTAATTTTCTCATACTCCAACCATTCGGCCCAAGCATTGTTCATAATTTGATAAGCACGCAACCACTCTTTTCCAAAGCACCATTTATTCCTTGCTTTCCACAAACCCCACAAAATAAAAACCGACAAATGTATTTTGTCTTCTTTGCTCTCCACATTTGCCATAGCACAAATCTCAGTCCACCACACAGAAAAATTCTCTACAGTTTGTTCAAGGTTTATCCAGGATATAGGAGCCAATTTCCAAACCAATCTAGCTCTTTCACAATTAAATAAAACTAGTACAACACTCATGTATTACATAGGTGGGGAGCGTGCCTCATCCCGGACCGTTCATGGACGAATTCATAAAAGTGGGATCGGTATCCGGACAAGTCAAATCCAGGACCGTCCCGGACCGCGTCCACCCCTACCATAAATAATCAACATATTTATAGATAATCCAAACCTAAATGTTTTTGGATTAGAAGTAAATTAAATCTATCAAAGCCTAATAACGAAGCATGTAATTTTGCAATATAGGATCCCGAAGCATGCGAGCCTGCCACATAGACTCAGCACGTTCTGAATCAATATATAAGGGGGGATATGTTCCAAGTCTTCAACTTCACTACCGCATACCTGGCAGATTGAATCAATATTGATCCCAAAAAACATCTATTCTGACCTATTATAAAATGAAACTTCTTTGTTGGAAGGCATAGTCATTGTTTAATTGGGATAGTAATTGTTAAGGAAATTGTGCATTTTCTGAAATGTGTACGGACATATTTGTGATGCATGAAGATAATTCAGTCATGACCATTAGAACATAGACAAAATTGCATAATAATGCATCACCTTTCATGTTTTTGTAAATTTAATCACCACATTTATCATTTTTGCAAATGGATATATGAATGACGGCTCCGTTAACAAAAATCTAACGAAAATTTGACATGGCATTAAGCCAGTCAATGCCATGTCAGATCTTTGTTAACGGAACCGTCATTCATTTATCAATTTGCAAAAATAGTAAAGGTGGTGTATTAATTTGCAAAATTTTATAAGTGATGATTAAATTGCAAAAATATAAAAGGTGGTGTATTAATATGCAATTTTTTCCTTATAACATATGAAGCTGTGTGTATTGATGAGAGCAAAATTTTGCAAATTTGGATAAGGAATGTGCAATGTTTCATACACAACATGGTCTAGATTTTATTTTTATTTTTATTTTTTGAAAAAACAAAAATTATCCCATTTTGTTTAATTTTTAAATTGATATGAATTGATTGATATCTGGCATGCATTTAGTTGCATAAAATATGCTGTAGAAGAAATCTATATATATATATATATATAATAAGAATTAACATTTACCAAAAATAGTAGAAAAAAACCTGCCAAAATTTAATGCAACCTAAAAATAGTAACTTTTTAATTTTTTTAAAATCACATTAAATGGTACGCTATATTGTGGGGTTTAGTTAATTTTGGTATTCAAATCTCAGAAGATTGTAATCTGTGTTACCATTTGTTATCTACTTACATTTTCTTTTCCAATATTATACTAACATTCAAAACGAAATCCCCAAGATGATTTAATAATAATAATTGATTTAATAATTTGATTGTATTATGAAATATTTTCTTTGAATTGGTGGCCGTAAAGTAGGATAAATATGTCTACTCAATAATTGGGCAATCTATTTGACATTTTATTTTTTTTAAATCATTATTTAATTATATATAGTGAATAATAATTCTTAAATGTATAGTGGGCGAACTTACATAAATATTTTAATCGTTGAAATGTTTTAGTAACTAAATCATGTCGAAAAAAGTTTACTATATAAATTAGGACTATGTTTTAAAACATTGATAAATAGAATATAAGTCGGTGCAGTGTGATAGTTCATTTAATTTAGTGCAAGAATTTATTTTTACACTTCTTAAAATCAATCCATATTTTATGAAAATGTCATTCTATACTTAGAAACATTTTTGAGTTTTTGAATTGTGATTTTAATCAAATCAATAGATAATAGAAATTATTAAATATTCATCCCCAAATATTTTTAAAATGACTATACTAAATTAATTTTTGTAATATCAAAACCCATATATTATCAAAATGAATTTACAAATTTTTTATATCACTTTTAAATAATTTGCAATTGTTCATGGTTTGATTTATTTAATTAAATTAATATAATTTCTATTTATATTAAAGTACCAACTCATAAAACTTTAGTACTAATTATTAAGTCACTATAAATTACAATTCGAATGATGAGGAAAAAATGGTTGTAAAAATATAGGATTTTATTGTAAAACTTTACAGATTTAGTCTCGAAAATTATGATAAAGAAATTGTTGTATAAAATATGATAATCAAGACCGATTTGATCTGAGGTCTCTTATATATTTGGAATCCTCTTTTATGGGAAAAGAGCACTTGAAGATGGTATACACCGGTCTAAGTTCTTTTGAATATTAATCACGGGTTTGGTTTATACAGGAACAAAATAATAATATGATATTATCTATGGTGAACTATGTCCATGTTGCATCATATTAAGAGCATCTCTAATGCATTCTTTTGAAAGGGTAAAAAGTTATCCACCTAATCTAGATAGAAAGTGTGTGAATAATATATCCTCCAATGCATTAGATTATGGGTCCTTTCATGCTTATGTGTAAAAAATTAATGTTAACATTGTCAAGCTCACTTTCTAATTTCTCACATTCTTTCTAACATGATGACTCATCATTTTGATAATTATTTTACACAAATTTTGAGTTTTTCATAAACTTGGGAAAAATCCCACCCTTACATTTATCCAATAAAACATTTGAGAATTTATTTGAATACAGTATAATTATTTGATGAGTTACAACTAAAATTTAAAAAATTTATCAATAATAATGTCCTTAAAAGTAAAATATTATGTTCATGATATTTGTTTGTTGAGTTATTGCAATTTTAATATTTTGTTGTTTTATTTTGAACCAATTAAAAAAATATTTATTGTGTGGTTATACATATTGTAACTGAGAAATTATTGAATAAATAATAATTTTATAAATTTGATGATATAAATAAAAATTAACTGAATCAACAAAAAATAACATCATGCATATAATTATTGGAATTTGTGGTTTTTTTCTAATATACTCTTTGATTTTATTAATAATTGAATAAATCCACATATACAAATTGTATGGTTGTTGAATGGATGCATTGGAGNC